ACCAAGTCTGGGCGGGAAGGCACTGAGGACACCTGATGCCCCCCTCACCTCTCCCACTCTCCGTCTCCCATCCAGGGCTCCCGGTCCCCGACCTACTGCCTCCCAACAGCTGCGGTCTCCCCTGCCACACCAGCACCAGCTAATCTCAAAGAAAGGAAACCAATACGCGCCGAGAATCGGGAACTCATATCAGGACCTTTAAAACACAATTCTCATCCTGCTTCATGAGGGGCTATGGTAGGAGAAGCGTTCTTCAATTTCGAGTGAGACAAAAGAGAGAAATACACAAAAACAGCCAAATTCACACTATGGGAGATGGCCTTGTACTAAAGCAGAGCTGGCCAGACGGCCCCAGGGACCAGCCTGTAGCCCAGGAGAGTCAGATTGATGGTGTGGTCGCAGTTGCGGGGAGCAGGGGGATGCCCCAAGGACGAGAGGGACGCGGAAGCACCTTCAGTGAAGTCCGGTTCCCACTGGGGCTCCGGGGAGGGCGTCTGTCAGTCACGCTGCTGAGCGCGCCCTTGGGTCACAGCTCGGAAGGGACTTCTACATCCTGGGGTCCGTTATTGTCACAGCAGGAAAACTGACATCTGTTTCAAGGGAGGACCCGTGGGCGGTATCATAAGCGGTGAAACGGAGCTTGCTTCTCCGTTCATGCTCAACCACTACCTACTACAAAGAAAGTAGCCAATAACCTTCAGGTCAGGGCGGGGGGGACACGGAAGAGAGAGGTGCTGAAAAGAGAAGTAAGTATCTCCCAAAGGCAGAACCGAAAAGAACTAAAGTCTTTATCAGAAAAAGATTGGAATCTTGGTCAATTCCACTCCCTCTCCTTTATTCAAATGTAGTTCATTTTTTAAAGTTACCTAACCGGGTTAACTGCCATAATGAGAAGACACCCTTGCCTGTCTCCCACCTCCCATCCCTTTCCCCAACCCCCCGCAATGCTCCTTCCCTCCATAGACACAAATTCCGGTTTTCATCCTAAATCTGATGTGCTTTAAACAGTTCACAAGGCACTTCTGTACACGGCATCTCATCCTGCTTTTTCAACCGGTCATGGTGACCCGTCCCGCTACTCTATGCTGAACTCGGAGGGTTTGCGTGGCTTGCCCAAGGGGACAGCCTGTAAACAGGACGGCAGCATGTCCTATGTTGCGTCTCAGCACTCCAGATTCTGACCCCTCCTCACCACCACACGGCCTTGCCCATTAGAGGCACCTAATGGACCTGTGGATTGGACGGCCATAGAACCCATGAGCATCACGGTCCAGAAAGAGTAAGTGGCAGGCTTAACGCACGGAGCTGGTTAGCAACAGCACGGAATTTGGAAGCAAGGCACCAGGGCTGGTGGGTGGATGGGCAGTGTCTCCATGCAGTTCTGTGTCCCAGGTCCTCCACGGAACAGTAAGGTCAGTTGTAGTCCTCCCCAGCACCCTCCCCTTTTAAAAAACTCTGCCATTAATAGATTCTCCGAATTCTTCCCTGCTTTCTAAAACCCACAGTGTCAGAGGGGAAGGATAACAAGGCAGCTGGTCTTGGCCACCTTTCCCAAGAGATTAAAGGACACATGCTGCGCGAGGGAAGGTAATACAATTCTACTCGGCTTCGGCTTCTCGTAACTTTCTTCCTTCTCCACACCTTGCAAAAGCTCGCTCCATGCCCCCTTCCTCATCCAGCATGCTAAGCCAGCCTGCCTTAGCCTCCTGGGCCCACAAAGCTAGGCGAAAAGGAAATACAACAACCCTCCCAAAGTCAGCCACCTAGATCAAATAAACTTTCAAACTGTTATTCCTGATGGCGGTCCTGGCCACCAGACTAAGATTCTCTGCTGTGTGTGTCATGCTGGAAACCGTCTCTATTTGTCATTTACATCAGAGTGGCCTTTTACACACCAGGGCTGGTGACTACTTTGGACTCACCTGGTGCAACAGCAAGCTCTTAACATTTTATTTACTTTTTTTTTTTTTGCGGTACACGGGCCTCTCACTGCCGTGACCTCTCCCGCTGCGGAGCACAGGCTCCGGACGCGCAGGCTCAGCGGCCATGGCTCACGGGCGCAGCCGCTCCGCGGCATGTGGGATCTTCCCGGACCGGGGCACGAACCCGCGTCCCTGCATCGGCAGGCGGACTCTCAACCACTGCGCCACCAGGGAAGCCCCGCTCTTAATATTTTTTTAAAAAGGGTGACGTCACGGCTCTATTAGTAAAAAGTGGGCAGGTGATGGAGGGGATCCAAGTCTCCAGGAAAGAATTTTTTTCTTAAAAATCAGCTGCAAATGATAAATGCTACTGGTTTTCGAAGCTTTCCAGTGATTCATTCAACCCCGTGAAGAGTTTTTATCTTAACTCAGAGGGAAGCGGAAGAGAGTGAGAGCAAACAGAAGGGGTCTGACCATCTCTTATTCCAAGCTGTTAAATATTAAAATATTTAATATTAATGATAGCCCACGCACTGCAGCCTCTGATGGTCAACAGCTCAGTGGATCATTGTCTCTTACGTGTCTTTGGTTGTTGCTGTGAAACACTCAGGGTATAAGGAAATCTATTAACTACAGAGGACAAGTTCCGAGAGAGAGAGGAGAACAGCTTTGTATCTAACACATGCTGGGATACCAGAAATGGAGAAGCCGGGGAAGGCATGGGGGAGCTTTCCTCACTGCAGTGAGTGCCACAGCCAAACCCAGGATGCACTGCCTTGTCCTTCTCCTCCAGAGAGAAGCCCTCCCCCTTCCCTCTTCAGGTCGCTTCTGCGTCTGCTCAGCCCAAGCCCCTGGAAGCTTTCATCCGGGGCAGTAAGCACACAGCACTGTGGGACGTCCCGAGATAGGATGTGCCTGGATGGATGTGCTTCTGAATCTTTTGTGAAATTTGACTGCCTGCCCTCCATTTCACCCTGGGTGGGGAAATGCCAGTGGCTTGGATGGTTATGTTTCATTTGGAATCATTCTAAATAGTTTAATTAATTTATCATGTTGAAAAATCCACCTTGCTTTCTGAATCTGTTCCCCATCTTAATTTCCACCAGAGGCACATAGGCTACGGTGCCCTTAGAAGAATATTGACTCGGCCTTGCTGTAACCTTGGTATGTCTTCACCATCTACCAAAAGCGAAATAGAGTACTCTTAGGAACTCTAGTCCTAAATCCTGTCTCTTATTTCTTGACTCCAAATGAGAAAGTCAGTGCTTAACCACCTCTTCGAGATTTAAATAGGGGTTACGACAGTGCAAATACACATGATTTCAAATTACAAACTGACAGATTTGGGAATCTCCATAGGTGTGTACAAATCATACAAGTGCAGGCTTTGATGAAATGTGCAATCAGCATTGCTTTGTTAAATTTAAGTTTTCTTTAAATAGACACTTAAGTGTAGAAAGACACTCAAAATTATAAAGTAAATCTCAGGCTATTATCTCCTTCTCTTGATTATACAAACTCTTTTCTCCTCAAACAGCTACAATCCAGGTTCTGGCCATCTCCTACTGCTTCTGCCCTGCGCTGAAATATTGTTTCCTTTTCTATACCATGGGAGATGTCTAAATACTAGAAACAATGTTATGGTAAAATGTATGACAAAGAAATTTGCATTACCCACGATTGCGTTGAACGAGTGGCTGCACCCAATAGGCCATAGATACATGGATTAAAGATACATTTTTTGTAACTGTGACTTTATGATCTCATGAACATTCTCAAGACATTTATGTAAAACACTACAATCCAAGACATAGTAGGTCTAGCACACAAACCACATCATAAACAGTATCAGACACATCTGCCAGTTCTGAGCTGGTGACAGAAATGACGAATAAGCACGTTTTTATCATTTGTTCCTCACAAGATCGTACTTTGAAGTTTTAGAAACAACTCACTGAATCAGTAGTAATCCCTTTGGATAACGGTATGCAGCTTGTATTATTTTAATTCAAATTTAAATCTGATTGCTTCATTTTAAGGGTTTCAAAAAGATATCTATAATTTTGGACTCTTGGCGTAATCTAAGGTAGCTGAGGTTTTTAAATTGCTTAATTTGAAAGAGCTCATTTTTCAAAATGTATTCACACTCCTATATGTAATTGGTAATGATGTACACTGCATTCTGTGCTGTTGAGAATAGGTACAGATTTCTGGTCCATCAACACCAAACTCATCTCTAGACATCCCAATACTCAGATTCATCTTGTATCATTTTCATTTTTGAAATTCAGGCCAGTTGAATTAGTCATGTTTAAAATAGTCTAATATAATCACACACACACACACAGACACACACACACACACATGAATGTATATAAAACTGGAGAAATCTAAAAAAGGTTGGTGGATTATGTCAATGTCAGTTTTCTTATTGGGGTATAACACTGTAGCCATGCAAGAGGTCACCACTGGGGAAAACTGGCTGAAAGGTACGTGGGATCTCTCTGTTTTATTTCTTACAATTGCATGTGCATCAATTATCTCAAAAATTTAAAGAAAAGAAGCAAGGAAGACAACAATACATTATATCACCATTTAGTTTTTAAAAATAGGTATATGTCTTATGTATCTATACATATACAGACTTACCTGCATACATGTACAAACATAAGAGCCATGCATACATATGTCTCTGTATGTGCCTACGTATCTTTCTATATATGTGTGTATATATATGCTACTTCTGTAAGGATACCTAAGAAATCACTAATGCTGGTTGTTTCCGAGGAGGAAAACTAAAGAAACAGAATGCTTATTTGCTTTTCACAGGATACCCCTGTGCGCCTGTTGAATTTTGTGCTATTGGCATTACTCATTCAAAAAATAATTCTTTAAGAGTGAGGACAAAATAGACATTTCAAACCTAAAACAAACAGAAACAAACCAAAGAATCTTAGCATACACTAAAAGCCTTAGTGAACCCATGTAAGAAGTCCTAACTGTGACACACACACACACACACACACACACACACTGGCAGTGAAGATGCAAACAGAGAAACAGGAGAAAGTCTCTTACGGCTGGAGATGCAGTAGGACAGCCGGCAGTTGATCTTCCGGAAGAGCTGCTTGTTAATTGGCCAGAGGAGAAGAGTGAAGAGCTGAATGGTGTTGATGATGAGCCCCGAGGCGATAAACACGTAACAGAAGATGAGATGGCACAGGAACTGAGACTTCAGCAACGCGATGAGGTCCATGCTGGGTGGGCGCTCCTCCGCCAAACCACAAACGCCCACCGTAGAGCACGTCCAGAGGACAGGACGGCCGGGACTCAGGGATACACCTGAAACACACACCGATGTCAAATGTGAGAAAAAAATATTATCTGCTCTTATAGGCAGGGGAAAAAAACTCCTAGAAGAAAAATATACTCTCGAGATTAAACACATTCTACAAGGAATTCCCTGGTGGTCCCGTGGTTAGGATTCCAAGCTTTCACTGCAAGGGGCACGGGTTTGATCCCTGGTCAGGGAACTAAGGTTCCCCGCAAGCCAAGTGGCCAAAAATTTAAAACACGTTGTACATTCGTTGATTTATTTTTATTTCAAAAACTTTTTTTTTTTTTTTTTTTGGCCAAGCCATGCAACTTGTGGGATCTTAACTCCCCGACCAGGGACTGAAGCCAGGCCCTCAGCGCTAAGTCCTAACCACTGGACCGCCAGGGAATTCCAGCAAGCACTTATAATAGCGCTTCCTTAAGGTCGGGCACAGTTTCAGTCCTTTAAAAAGAATAGTTCCTTTAACTGCACTAATGCCTGCGAGGCAGGCACTGTTATTACAGAGGAGGGAATGAGGCCCACAGAGGTTAAGCAACTTGGTCAGGGTTCCACAGGCCTCACCGCTAAGGAGAGGCTGGTGGCCAGAGTCCGCATCTCCGGACCTTCCCTCCTGCCAGCCTACTGCCCCCAGCGACCCCTCCACACCTCCCTCCACTCGTCATCTCCAGATCTCAGTCCAAACGGCACTTCTTCTGGCAAGACCTCCCCGAATGCATGCCTGCCCGGGGGAGGCTGGGGGCCACCCCTGGGGTGGTGTTTGGAGGGGGTCGCCCAGGCGGCACCCTCTGCCGTTACTGTGTTACTGCTTCGCCTGTTCGCCTTCCTACACTGGACCGTCACTCCTCCGGGGCACACGACTATTCTGAAGATCATCCCTGTCTCCCCCAGCCTTGAAGCAATCACTGGCACAGAGTTGGAACTTAATTAAAAATACATATATGGGACTTCCCTGGTGGCGCAATGGTTAAGAATCCGCCTGCCAGTGCAGGGGACACAGGTTCGAGCCCTGGTCTGGGAAGATCTCACATGCGGCGGAGCAACGAAGCCCGTGCGCCACAACTACTGAGCCTGCGCTCTAGAGCCCACAAACCACAACTACTGAGCCTGTGCCCCATAACTACTGAAGCCTGTGCACCTAGAGCCCATGCTCCACAGTAAGAGAAGCCACCGCAATGAGAAGCCCGCGCACCGCAACGAAGAGTAGCCCCCGCTCGCCGCAACTAGAGAAAACCCGCCAGCAGCAACGAAGACCCAGTGCAGCCAAAAACTAAATAAATGAATGAATAAAAGTTAAAAAAAAATACATATATATTTGTGGAATGATTTAATGAAGGGAAACAAGGGATGAACTTTGAGATATCAGTAAACACAAATAACCAACTATGCAGGCAAGAGGAACACGCCACCACACTCCTGACACACACACACAGACACACACACACACACACACACGTGCGCGCACACATGCACCCTTAAGAGTTCTAAGATTGAACAGAAACTCAAAACATGCACAGCGGCCAGACTCACGGCCCTGTCATCAGTCTCCAACCCCAGAATGGAATAATGAAATAACTGTCCAGTTTGGTTAAATTAAGCCTTTGAGGAACAGCCTGGAGGCAGGAGGTTCAAATACTGTGCTGGAGAAAACATAAGTCTGAGAGCATGATGCGTAGCAGGCTAGCTTCTCCCAGAAGCAGAACGTCATTGCAAACAACCTCAGGAACAGCTCCAACGGCAGGACGAACTTTCTAACAGTAATAGTGAAGAGACCGTAGACGTCATTACCACCTTTATGGATAATACTGTCCCGCAAAAAATCTGTATGACAGTATCACATATATGATCTCATTTTAAGCCTCAGATGAATCCCATGAGTATTATTATTATCCCATTTTTCGGAGTAAGAAACTGAGATGCCCCATAGGTTGGGCGATTTGCCTGAGGTTGCCACCATCAGTAACTGACCTTAAGATTCAGTCTGACGGGGCTTCCCTGGTGGCACTGTGGTTAAGAATCCGCCTGCCAATGCAGGGGACACGGGTTCGAGCCCTGGTCCGGGAAGATCCCACATGCCGCGGAGCAACTAAGCCCGTGCGCCACAACTACTGAAGCCTGCACACCACAACCACTGGGGGCCACTCGCCTACAGTCCATGCTCTGCAACAAGAGAAGCCACGGTAGCAAGAAGCCCGTGCACCACAACAAAGAGCAGCCCCCGCTCGCCGCAACTAGAGAAAAGCCCGCGCGCAGCAACAGACCCAACGCAGCCATAATTAATTAATTAATTATTTTTAAAATTATTTTTAAAGTGCTTAAAAGGATTCAGCTCTGACGTCCGAGCTCTTTCTCCTCCAGCTCTCTGGGCGACTTTACCCCTGGGGTGTGAGGTGGGGCTTCTCCTGGGCTCAGAACTCCCCTCCACAGAGCAGCCCAGAAAGGAGCCCAGGGCAAAACCAGTGCAGCGTTCAGTGAGGTTCACAGTCCCAAACTAGGCGCAGAGTTGGGGACACGGGACTCGCTTCTGGGACTCCTAGGCTGGTTTTGAGGACAGTCTTGGGCATAAGGACAGTCACAAGGTGCATTCCTGTAAAACATGACCCTCGCTTAGACTAACTGGAAGGCACCTGTGTTTCTGAGACGAGGGAAATAGAAAGTACCTTTGGCCTGATTTCTCTGAAGTCAGCTCAGCTCAGCTGAGACCATCTTTCTCCCCAGAAGCCCTGCTCTCTGGCACAAAGCCAGGACGCTGCTGGGGCTGAAGCAGCCCTTCTTCAATGTTTTTCAGAAAGCACTGCCCTGGGACACCTCCAAGTTGTCAAACTCTTTACTTAGTTTCGACACACCCAGTCTCTCTCGAAGGCACAGACATTAAGCTGGTAGCTCACCTCAATGCACTTGGCTTTTAGGAGCTACATGAATAGAAGTGACACACGTCAGCAGCAGCTATAGTCTGAGGTGGAATATTCACGTGCTGTATTCATTTGTCCTTGGATTAGCCTCTAAAAGCTTCCAGACACTCTAGGCCAGAAGAAGTGTGATTCTTCACTAGGTTTCTGGGACCTAGTGTTTGGAAAGTATTTGACAAATCCTTTGCTTTGCTGACTTAACACTAAGAAATGGAAGTCAGCTGGTACTGGAAACGCAGGGGATTGAATGCCGCCTTCCTCGGTTTCCTGTCAGAAGTAGGGCATGACGAAGAAAAAGTAAGCTTTTCTTTTTTTCCTTGTATAAGTCCAGGGACCAGCATGCCCTTTAGTAAAACCCTTGCTAGTACTGCATGAACCAGGGGTCTAACACAACGTTGGTGAGCTTTAGGAGTCACGAGGGGGGTCACAGACAGGCGAGCCTTGGCTGGCTTTGTTCTGCCCCAGACCCCCTTCCTAGACTGGTGTGGGTTTGGAGTTCAACTGTCTGGGTTTGAAGCCCTGTTATACCCCTTACTGGTTGCGTATCCTCAGGTAAATTAACTTTTCTGAATCTCGGATTCTTTATCTACAAAAAGGGCTAATAGATTGCGATCAAAATTCCAAGGAGGCTACTGTTTTTTGCAAAACTTTAGTTGATTCTCAAATTTATATTCAAGAGCAAAAACGACAAGAATAGCAAAGGAAATGCATGATGAACAATAAGGTAAGAAGTGCTGCGAGTTTATGAAACAATTTAACTGATTATTAAAAGAGACAAGGCCAAACTTTTTAGGGGGGGGTGTCTAGTGGGTGAATATGTGTTGCATGTCTTAAGTTTATTCCAGATAGAAGTTTGGGGGGACCATCCTACCCTTCTTGACTAAAGGCAAGCTTTCTCTCTAATGTGGTGATTTGCCAATTCGGTACCATACTGAGGAAAGATGGTGTAAAGATCTGACCAGTGACAAAAACAGGTAGAGAGAAAGCATTTTAAAATTCTTGCCTTTTCCTCTAATTTTTGGTGGAAGGATTACAGGTGGTTTCTCTTTTCTTGCCCGTGTTTTATTGTTCTTTTCTATAATGAGAATGAGATTCTCCCCCTTCCTGGGCACAGAGCTGGATGGACGCATCTCCCAGCATCCCTGCCATTGGTTAGATGTGGTCAGAGGATGGAGCACACGGGATGATGAAGGTGGTCCCTGAAGGCTGCTTGCAAACTTGATGAGGAAGAACCACGGGGTGGGCTCACCCTGTCAGGTGAGCGGAAAGGTGGAAATCCAGCCCATCAGCAACAGACCAGAGAAATTCTGGAACGTGAAGGCAACCTGAGACCACCTTGAATCCAAGCATAGCTGACGGTGAGGGTGATACAGGCCAGATGCTAGAGGGTAAGGGATGTTGCAGGAACGTTCGAATCTGGCAGTCCTGGCTAGAAATCCAGGCTCAGCCGCTGCCTAGCTCCATCCCTTACTGAACTTCCACAGCCCCCAGCTTCCTCCTCTGCGAAACCAGAACGAGACCGCCAACACAAGGTTGCTGCAAGGCTCACGTATAATAAAGCGTCTGAAACACTTAACACGATGCCTGGAACACAGGGAGCTCACAATAATGGGAGAATTTTTCTCTCATTTCAAGAAAAGAAAGAAGGAGCAGCTAAGATGTATTACTTTGGCATCCCTGGGAAAGCCAGTGAGATATAAATCAGTTTTCCTTCTCACTCCCTATCTACTGATAGAGCCTGATGTTTTCTTTAATTTACCTTGAAGTGTGTTAAAACATTGCCTCCCCCCATTTGTTTTCATTCTAATCTGTCCTTTACTGCTAGTGATTCTGAGATGGGAAGTGATGCGTTCACCAAAACTCACATGGATGGTACCCTTTTAACCAGGTAATAACCTTGACAAAGCATGGAGATGACAAAGGGACTTCGGAATAAGGGAAGGTGCCAGCCAGCAGGACGCTTTCATTACCCTTGTGTTGTTTCCCACGCAGATTTCTACCCTGAAACTGGGCAGATGCAGAGAAGCTGGCGTGCACACACCGGTGGAGCTTTGCTACCTGGGACTCCTGCAGGGTGCGGGGTGGGAACGCAGATGGCA